TGCAGGCAGACCTAACCTTTTCCATTCAATATGCAGTATTTCAAGTAATTTGTAATAGCAGCAATAGTGAAAACTTTATTATTTTGTACAGTAGTGTTCATTCTTCATTGTGGCTAGTATGTGTTCAGTTTTACAGACAGTGAGTATGGGGAGTAACCACAGCCATACTAGCATAAATTGAAGAAAATCACAATTTGACTAGAAGATAATTTTGCAAATATTACTTAAAAATTCTAATAGGCAGGAGCACGTCTCCTGTCCTTTTCTCTCATTTTGCTAATTTATGTGAACTGGAACTCACAAACCAAACTTCTGCAATGAGTACAATTACGTATATCAGCACTCTTGCTTTTCCAGTACAGTCATTTTCCTACAAGATTACAGAAGGAAGACTGATCCTACTGTTCGACCAGAAAGCAAACAGATGTCCTGATGATAAGCAAACAGTAATTCCTGATGATAAAATGTGGCAATTCTTACCAAAAAAACCACACACCCCCCATTTAATTTACAGTGCATTCCTCCAAATTTAGTTCGGAACGTACTATTTGAAAGTCAGGTATCCCTCTAAATCCAAGACATTTACAGTCAAGATAGCCAAAATCATCAAAAGACAGAAGGGACAGAAGCATTTCTACCATCTTTGTTTTGCTCTCCAAGACCACAACCTCATATTTCAGTCCATTAGATCCCATCCTTTAGGCTTAAGAACTCACCAGCTTCACATTGCTAACAGAGTGAACAATTACAGAACTCTTAGTCTCATGTTGCAAGAAGACTAAATAAAAGTTCAGTTTAAAAGCCCTTGTGCAAAAACCTTCAACTTGAAGAAACACTAAAGCTAAAATTTTACCTGATTGACTTCTCTCTACTTTGAAAGTAAATACAATATACAGACAAGCAGGCATTTTTAAAAAAACACTTCCCGCGTTGCCTTCTCAACCAAGACATGGTTTTGAAAGCAATTCACAACTACAAGAGGCGGGTCCTGCCATCCTTCTTTTCCAGGCCATCCTCAGCAGAGACATTTGTCCAACTCTGATGTTAGGAAGTTCAAAGAGGTCAAGAGCCAGCCAAGTGACTCAACCAAAACTGCATCGAGCTGTCCTCTGGTTTGGCTCCCTGAGCCAGCTCAGCCCAGAGCTGTGGCTGCAGTGGCACTGGCACAAAGGAGAGGGGGCAATACCTCAGCACAGAGGCTGCAAACCACACTTCTGGAAGCTGTCAGAACAATGCTAGCTGCCATGATGTCACATTTGCGGCATCTCCACAAAAACTGGCCACATATTCAGCCCCTAACCTCCAAACAAGAGAGGACACATAAAAATCCAATTCATGATGTCCATCTAGAGCTGCCCAGACTGAAGAGACTCACTGAGCTACAAAGTCTCCACTCATCTTCTGATTTTTTTCTGACTGAAGCCTACTGTTTCTACACAGAAACGCTCAAGTCCAGATCTTCAAAAACTTATTTCCCGAAGTAATGTGAGCATTTCTAATAAGGAGAAGAAAAAAAGGACTTAATGAAGGCAACCCAGATTAGCTAAATGACACATCATAGTGGAACAATTCTGCTGTTAAAGACCATGCAGATGTTATGATGGAGGCAAAGAAAGCCTTTCTTTAGCTACAGCACAGCTGCTGCTAACAACTTCAAAAAGACTTGGCACAGGATTTCAGCCACAAAACTTTCCCCTCACTTCATTTCATGAACGTCATCCGCAGCCTCAGTGAGCTGCACCAAGGACAAAACCAACACATGGGGAGTCTGCAACACCTTATCGGCAGTGGAGCAGCTTTTTGCACCGGCAGCACTCACATGCACATTCAGTAAACTTGTCTGTACATCTCCATTCCTCCTCAGCACAGCAATCCCTCAAAAGCAATGATATCCCACACTGCTGTCCTCCTATTTGTTCTTCCATTATCTTCTAAGTTAAAGAAGACAAACAAACTACTACATAATTAAGAAATATTACAGCTTTAAAACCAGCTGTAATCAACAGATCATTTCCTTTACTTTTTAAGTAACATTAGAAAGTACTATCAACTTTCATACACTAAGCTACTCTAAATAGACACCCTGACCACAAAGCTGAAAATATCATAGCTTACAACTACCCTGAATGCACATGGTTAATGCCAATCTTGTATTTTGCATGTAATATATGTAGCACACAGAAAGTATATATTCACTGTCTAAATTCAAAGTCCAGCTTTCCCCTTCAAATATGTCAAAGAATTACAACCAGTTATGGCTGTAATACATAGTACATAGGAAGTAGTACATAGAAAGAACTTGCATTGGTTTTACAGCATTTAACAGTAAAGCACACAGAATTGAACTCCATCTGCATTACATTTGTGATTTTCTTTCAGTGATGACAGCGTTAAGATACATACCTGAGAACTTTAAGATTCATGTATGTATATGACATAAAATTAAAACATTTGTGACACATGGGAACAAAATCTTGGAAAAACTATTTTTAATGTCTCCCTTTTTTCTTCTCTTATTATTCATATGTCAGCTTGTTGACTCTAAGACATTCTTAGGCATCTAGCATGTGAAGCCATAAACTGCTTTGTCATCTACAATATTTTTCCCACATCTGGAAATCTACAAAGAATCAGTCCAAATGAGGAAACAGCAATAGGAGCAACTAAAACTCTATTAATATTTAAACTTTGTAAGTAAAACAGACTAGGCAAAAATGGAAATTAGAAATAGAAACAGAAAGAGAAAGGCACTGGAAGAGGATTTTTTTAAGACCTGCTCAACTGCTTTACTACCAAGAACTTGATACAAAGCTGGAAGTTTACAACTTTAAAGACTATTAGTAATATTGATTAAAAACAGTGAAGAAAACTCATTAAACCAAAGGTAAAGCTTGAAATACTAGAAACATTAACCACATTATTACTATATTCATAAAAACAAGACATTTTGACATGACCGACTTTAATAATAGCAAAAAAAGTAAAGAATATGGGCACTAACCCCCTGACTCTACTGATCTTATAAAACACCATCTACTTTTCAGAATTAGCAACAGACTCATGAAATTGAACCAATTTGTTCAACAGATGTTTCAGCTGACTCAAGAGAAATTTTACTTTTCTATTGTAGAAACAGAGTGAGCTGAGTAAAATTCCACTCTTATTAGCAGCATTTGAAGTATATTAGCTCATAATTAGCTGCCATTTCCATTCCTTCTTTCTTTGACAGAACAGAAAACATTTTCCACACCGGATTAGACGTGACACTGAAATAAAGTAGGCACATTGATAAAAACAAATCACCCTCCTTGTCTCCCCCCCTCCCGTTTTGTGGGACATGCAGGAATGGCAGATTTTGTATTTTCCTTGGCGTTCCTGTCCCACACGAGCTGATAATCTCCGTGGTGTGGCTGTGCCAGTGTGCTGCCCTGCAGGCCCACAACACCCCTGCTGTTCCAGCCCCGTGCTTTCCTCCAGCACTGAGATCCTTTCGTAATGGCTGCTATTGCATCAGTCTAATTGCAACATAACTCTCAATACTCTAGATAAAGGAAATAATTTCATTTTTAACTTCTGCTCATAAAATACAGATTGTTTCCCTGCCACCCCCACTGCCTTTTTCTGTTTATTTTCAAAGATTTAAAGAAAGACGCACAGCACGCTGCACAGCAGTAGTCAAACAAAAATACCTCATGTTTTCTTAGAAAGCAGCACTTAGAAATATTGCTCAACACCTAAAGCATTAGTGCAGCCTTTCACAGAGCTGTATGCAGTAGATCCCCTGTGAACGGGCTGGAAGGGGAACGTACATTCTTACTCTGCGTATTTAATATAATATTCACCCATTATAAAACCTTCATAGTTTTTTACTCTCTCTCTTCCCTGCAATAGAGAGAAATAGCTTATCTGGCAAACACACTCACTATGTTTCTAGGCATTGAAAACACACTCTTGGTTAATTCATAAAACCTGATTTAATGGTTTTCTTGCATTCAGGTTAGCTAAGTTGAAACAATATTTAGCTTAATCATGCCTTGGCCAAAAAACTCTCTGTTATCTACTGATTACAACAGCATTGTAGCTAGCTATGGACATCACACTGGGAAAATACAAACCCCATGACTGAGGAAATGCAGATGAAATTCTGACTCCAAGCCATTTTGATAGTGGGCATTACAAGCACTACTTAGTATCTGATACAATAACCAGGCACAAGAGTCATGTGCCTGCAATGAATGATGAATTTACATGTCATTTTAATTTTATGTACATATATTATCTCAGTTGACAGCTTCAAAAAATGCTATGCTTCTTGTACCCAAATCATCTTGCACGATACAAAATGTCTACACTGAAATTAATTTGGATGCAAGCACTCATAGGAGGAAATATCAGAAGCTAAGTCTCCGAAAACCTAAACTTTGCCTTTGTTTGCTTTTGTGGCATGGTACACGTTGCAGTCATGTCATACCATGTCCACAGCACCTCTGCGCTGCTCAAAAACGTACAAAATTACCACTAATCAAAACAATAATCTGTTTAACTCTTGGCATTTGGAGTATGGTCCTATACCTGATTTACTGCACACTACTCAAACTTTTTTTTGGAAGACAGAACAAGTGATTTCTTTGTGAATTCAATGGTGCAGCTGAGTGCTCCATCAACATAATGGTTAGTCCTACCCTTACCCTGTTACTCCTAGCCTAGAATAACAGTGTTATTCCCAGCTTCCTAACTAAAGCACTGACAGCTTTAAGGTCAAAATGATTCTCCAGTTCTGAAGACAACTTTGTCTCCAGTTTGGCATAACTCAGACCTGATTTTTTCACAGCACTTGGCATTACGTTGTGCTTTATATAGCACCTCCAAACCTCAGCCCCCACTGCCTCACCCCCAGCCACCAGTGGTCAGTACTCTTCCAAGCAAGATCCCAAGATCTCAAGTCGTCCACAAGACACAGTGAGCAAAGACATAAGAAGAGCCAGGATGGAGCAGCTTACCTAGCATCACCTAGGAAGTCTGCAGCACAGCCAGGAAGGGAGTCCCACTCGCCAGGGCAGCATGCAGCTGCACAGAGCACCAGAATGGCTCCTGCCTTCTGCAATCCCCTGCCTTATCCACCACACACGTCCTGACTTCTGCTGGAAGTGAGGCGGGGTACTCCAGAGAACAGCCTTCTCCAATGCATCAACCAGATTCATTCCCAGAGCAAGTCCATCCTGTGCATGGAACCGAGCAGGAGTCCTGCAGGGAAAAAAACCCAGCACATTAGCATGTGACTTAATACCATTAAATTGAGGGGCTTCCTCACAAGGGGCCAAAAAAAGAGATTTGCAAAGATAAGTTCAGTTTTTACAATCCTTGATTTGGACACTGCCACACTGGAAAAATGTTTGTATTCACCACTTCAAGAAATAAGAAACTGAGACATCAGACATTGTTACACCAGCACCTACAAAAAAAAACAGCAGTTGGTTTGAAATCTTCAGATGAACCATGCAGCTTTTGTGGGAAAGTAATATCAAACTGGTTGCAAATGTGAAATCATTCTCTGATGGAAATTAGCCATAGGTGATGACTGAAAACATCCTCAAAGACCTTCTAATGAAATCAAAGAGTGTTTACTTAATATTCAAGATCTCTGGACCTTCCAAAACAAACTTCTCTGCCTGCTTTCCTCAAGCCATATCCTCTGGCCCATGCTGATTGAAGCCCTGGTCCTTCTTCATTCCTATCTTCAGCACCCCTGCCAAGTCTCTCCTTACCCTGCTCCCCAAGGATTTTCATCTCTCCCAGCTCCGTCACTTCCAGGCTTGGCTAGCAGTGCCACACTCTCCCTTCTCCCTTCATTTCCTCAATATTAACTCTCACTCTCCCACCACATCTGCCTCCTCTGTTCACAGTCTACAGCATTTTGGGGCCAGGACTGCACCAGGACCACTGACCACGCATGTCAGTGTCCCATGGGTTTGCTTCTGGCTCTCAGGCACCAGGGTACAAACCCAGCTTCCCTCTCCTCTTCCAGGTCACACAGCTCTCACATGCCAATGACACTGTGTGAGAGCTGTCATTTCTTTAAAAAGTTAAAGTTTGTTTCGATCTGAGAATTTTGCGGTGCTGACAAAGGCAAAGCCGTGACTCGCAATCGGCTCTTCTTCCCCAGCGCCCTTCACCAGCGCTTCCCACACTCCAACTCCTAGTTTCTGTTTCAAAGGGAGGGACATGGAGCATTTCCAAAAAAAGACTAGGTTTTTTTTGGTTGTTGTTTAATTTGTTTGTGAGATTTTTAAAAATCTACAATGAGAAACAACTTTTTCCACACATGCTCACAGAGAGAAAAATTATTTTGGCAGCAAAAAAAAAGAAAAAAAATTAGGCTGGCAGCAACTGCCTAGCCCCAAAGGCTAACAAAGTAAAGTTATAAAAAACTCCAAGGAACATCCTATACTGGGAAGTACCAGGCAGCCTTCCTTACTGCAATTTCTGGCACTCTCTTTTCAGCTTAACTCATTCAGCTCAAGAATTTTCAGCTTAACTCATTCAGCTCACTCCAACAAGAACTGTGCAAATCTTACCACCTGAGTGGTGAAGCTGAGGAGCAGCAGCTGTGGGTGGACAGTGCTGGGGTGAACCCCATGCCATGCAAGCTGCCTTTGCCTTCACCACCAGTTTTGTTTTGTTTTTTTGTTGCATGCCTACAGCAATAGAGCAAACAGCATCATCAGTGCACGGCACAGCCAGCATTTCTTCAGATGTTTTCATCCTGGAGGTACCAATGACTGCCTGAAAAGCTACAGCTGCTCAAAAAGTACTTCCAGGCCAGGAAGACCTGAAGTAAAATGGGTTAGCTTCAGTCCTGATTAAAGTCCCACACAGCTAATAGAGATAGTTTAAGCAAAACCATTTTACTTTACATTTGCAGTAAATCAGGAGCAGCCCTGTATAAGTTACAAAAGGGAAGAATAACTTCACAAAGTGCTACTACTTGTGATCACCTGCCCCTGCCTGGAGTGAAAATAGCCTTCTTAAATGAAATATTGGGAAGCTTCTTCTTTTCCTTTTTTCTATTTAGCTATTTAGTTATTTATCTCAGCATGAAAAACAAATGCAGCATGCTGTCAATACACAAAGGAAAGAATACATATAAAACAAAAAGGAAAACCTCTCAAAACAGATAACATTCTTTTAGAGCAAAGTCCAACTTACAGATTTTTATATTGAGCTCATAAGAGCAAACAACAGGGCAGCAATTTCCCGATGGCTCTTGTAAATATTCTGTACAAATAAGGTCCAGAAAAGGAGACCAGGAAAAAAAAACATTCACATGCTCACAGACAGATGCTAATTATGACATGGATTAAATGCAATATGACATTTATTTTTAAGAATAACAAGAAATAATTAATTCTAAGGCTTGATTAGCCATTCCTGTGAGATCATATTTAGTCTAGAGACATTTGATGCACCTAATTCTTAACAACTATGGCAAAAGAAGTATGGGACCCACATGCACACTCCTCGGACAATTATGTTAATTCTTATGAAAATAAACTGAGAAGCTTCAACCTCAATATTTAAAACAAAATGAGCACTGAAAGCTCACTACCACTTTCCAAAATTGCTAATAAATAATTTTATCATATTTTAAATTCAATTTAGCAATGAAACTGGCTATCAAGCATCCATATTAGGTATATGTACTTTTTTTAAAGCCAGAATAATTATCTGATCACTAGTTACAGTTCAGATGAAAAATATAATTAGGTTGAATGAAACTTCAGTACTTCAATGTACAATCATGGAAACTACACAAAACTTCTTGCTTAAAAAACAAGAGCAGAATTTCATGCACTATTTCATTTGGCAGAGTGTAACACATTTGCTGTCAGCAAAGGACTTTTTTCAGTGAAGAAAAAGGAAAGTATCTGAATTCATACAGCATTGCCCAAGTGATTAGAAGTATCAGTCACTGCTAGTTGTCTCTCAACTCTAAGCAACTGCAATGGATTTTGTTCCTACAGACCACTATACTGTGTTTCTAAAAACACTTCTGAAACCCAGCAGACCTCCAAAAAGCTATGTGTTTGTTTAACATAAACTAACCTAATTATTTTGTCATCAAAATCAATATTTATGGACTAAAACACTACTTCAAGTAGGAAAGCTTTAATGTAAAACAAATCATAAAACACTGATAATGGATATGCTTGAAAAGGCTCTAGGATTGCACATATTTATATAAGATTTGTGAATGTATAAACACTTGGTTAAATATGTCAGGAAAAAGGTGAGGCTCAGTGCAGTGAACTAAACATTGGAAGACAAAGCTTCTTTAGAACAGTGGATTCCTACAAGGACTTAAGACAGCTGGCTGAAGTATATCAAATATCTTCTTTAACAGCAAAGACATCCAAGTCCATAAATTAATTGTTCCTATTTATTCTATCTTTTAAGTAGTTTCCAGCATTTTTGAAATGCAAATTATTCCCTGAAAACTTTCAACAGCTATTTTTATTGCTAATACAATTATCACAAAAGCACACTACAATGCAAACAAGTGTGCTTGCTATGATCAACAACACTGGCATTATTTGGTGAGGGATTCTGCTGTATATGAATAAAACAAATTCTGTCATAAATTCTGTTAGGGAAGCTGGTCTTTAAATCATCATGAGGAAAATAACTTCCTACAATACTAAAACTTTCAATCATCAGAAATCCCCAAATCATGATGATTCCTTTTCAATCTCAAGAAGTTTCTCAAAGAATTCTATAATCCTACATAACTATAAAATCCTATATACTAGCACCAACACAAAAACTACTTCATGCATTGCTCAACATGTACAGTGTGGTTTATTCTTTCGTTTCAATCTGTTCAAATAACATGACCCAATGAGTTCAGTATAAAACATTATGGTTCTTATGCAAATTAACAGATTCCCAACATTAAGGTTACTGCTCCACAATAAACAGCACACAGCTGCTCACAGCTTGCCTTCACACTGAAAAGTAGATTAAAATGGAATAATGAACTTCTACCTGTATTCCACTGATTTTACTGACTTGGGGCATATTATTAAAAAAAAAAAAGTTAGTTATGAATACTGACAACAGCACCTACAGCTTCCAGCTGCTGTGGCATTGCATCCCTTAGTTTTGCACCTCACTGTCATACGAAACAAAGCCCTTGCCTTGGTGCTCTGGTTAGAGGAAAAAAGGGTGGAGTTTCCAGCACTGTTTAATTCCATATCACCACGTCATGGTGGAGACAAGGTTCCAGCAGGAGGAAGCTGAGGTGGAAGCAGACCGCAGGGAGGGCGTGTGCAGCTCCCAGGGCCAGCTCTTGTCCCTTCTCTGCCACCAGCAGTCCCTTCCCCGTTCCTCCAAACCGCAGCATTTCTGGCTTGGTGCTGAAAGACAGCACCAGCCAGCCCCAGAAAAAAGAAAATGGAGCCCACTGGAGCCACATGGAGGCCAAGTCACATCCATGGGAGCCACAGTAGCCGCTGGAGCTGTGGTTGGAGCCCAAGATGCAGCCAGAACCACTGAGCATCCCAGTCCCACGCCCACAGTCAGGCCAAGAGGAAGGGTCCCCTGAGCTGTTTCAAGGCTATGTCACACCCCACCAGTGTGTGACACAGTTTTCCACTGTTTTCCAGCTGGGAGGAAAGTACGGCCAGGAGCATCCCTGCCATGCTGCCTTTGTTTTCCCATCCACCACATGGCTCAGCATGGGGCCAGTTGCCATCCTGCCTTTGGCTGGGAAACCACACTGGGTTCTGTCTTGAGGAAGTATTTTGGTTTGTCCAGTGGTAAATCCTCTTTTGTGAGTAAAACACTCACTTTATTACATTCCTTTATTAACATTGCTGTGGTTATTGCAATTTTCCAGTAAATTGTGATTCCATTGTATAATCTCTCCTAGTGTTTCCTCCACTACCAGAAGGGAGGGGAGGAAAGGGGGCAGCTTGAGTGGCTTTAATTTTCCCCCTGAGTTTTGAACTAGCACACTCAGAAACCAAGTCAAGCACAATGAGCACCCACAACACCAGCCCTCCACTGTTAACCCACCATTACAAGCTCAAGGTAATTCAGTCTCAGTCAAATATTCTTCAAAAGTCAAATGACTTTTCCATTCTTTAGAAAATATTGAGGGAAGCACCAGATGCAAAGAGGCAACATGTCACAGCTTTGTTGACATCAGGCTTTCTCTTGGGATCTGCAGCAATTTCCACCACCTC